TTTTCGAATTTGTTCAGTAATTTGCATTGTTGATAAAGATTGTAAATTTGGTAAATATGACACAAGAAAAGAAATATAATCTCCATTTAGGGTTATGGGATTTCCATCAATTGTTATTTCTCTAAGTTGTAATGCTTTAGCAAGACTTCCTATATCTTCAATTCTAAAATATTAAATATTGATTAATAAAGATTGTTATTACATATATTTTTTTAATATGTTACATCTTTTTCATATAATTTACAAAATACTCACTTATATATATCATTATTACTTAAATATAATTTTTGTAGTTGTCGTGTTTCATCAAAACCTAATAACTTCTTAATTTTATTACGTCTAAGGTTTAATTCTTTTAATGATGTTAAACCTTGAAAATCATTATGTCCTATTATTTTAATATTATTTCCAGCTAAATTTAACACTTTTAAAGATATAAGATTACTTAAATCTGAAATTTGTACAATTTGATTCCCATGAAGATCTAAAACTTCCAATTTAGAAAGATGATTTAATCCTTCGATTCTTTTTATTCTATTTTTTCCAATCAATAATACTCTTAAATTTTCTAATATTTCAAAATTACATATCCTTTCAATTTGATTATCATATAAATCAAGAAATACTAATTTTGTTAATTGTAAAAAATTACAGTTTTCAATCTTTGTAAGAAGATTATGTTGAAGAGACAATAAACGTAAACGTGATTCTCCAATTATGTTTGGAAAAGAAGTAAGTCCTCTTCTATCAAGACATATTCTGTCAGGATTCTTCTCTTTTTCTGAAGCTGTTCTTGTTGCCATGACAGTTTTTCCTTCGCTTGTCCATTGTAAATTAACTGAATTAGAACCATCAACTTTGTCATATTCTATATTAAATGGAGAATCTGTTGGACTATATATGACATTTATATAAAATATTATGAATTTTTAATATAAAAATCACATTTAGTTCTGAATAAAGATATAATATATATATATATCTATTAATACAATACCTAAATGAATTATAACGACGCTTAAATAATTTTGATGGTACAAGAGCTCCAGGTAAAATGGGTAAAGCAGGAACAATTGTCAAAAAATTATTATTTTGTTGATATTTAGTATGAGTTTTTATTGCTTCTCCCTTAATTCCTTTTATATCAAAATCTACTGTTTTTGTCTAAAAATATTAAATTTATTATTATTTATTTAATTATAATTCAAGACATAAAAAAACATTAAAAACATAAGAAAAATAATGTTATTAAATAATATTAAATAAAAATATTAAATTTTAAATCCATCTATGTTATGAATATATAAATAAATATATATGTATATATTTTATATTTTATATATTATATTTTTTGTTTATGACTTAAAATGAAATTAGAAATACAATAGTCTAATATTTCATGATAAAATCGAACATACCCGCGTTATTCTATTGTTGCTTACTGGCATTACATAACAGAAAAGAACAGTTAATATATTATACCACAGATTTATAAGCTTAATTTTAATCATTTAAAAAAATATTGGTATGTTCATAATTTATAATATATTATAAAATTTTTTTATTAAATCTTAATAAAACTAAATCTAATATAAAATTATTAAATTTCTTATATTAAATCTTCATAAAATTATAACATAGTTTAACATTTATTGTTTGTCATTGCGCATTTGATTTACTATGGTTGTCAACATTTGAAAATTGCGCGTTATAACTATTTTGCAAAATAACTGCATTCAACAAAAGAAATAAATAAATTTTATTAATTTATAAGATATTTATATATAATTCTATTAATTCTATTAAAAAATATTTTAATGAAATTTAACATATTAAGTACCTAAATTTAAAAGTATT